GATTATTTCTCACCCTCCAGCTGAGGTTCTTACCCTCCCTTCAGCTCCATCCGGAAGCTGCCCATGCGGTGACCTCTGAAGCAGCATCCCCCGCCTACCCACTGGCGCCTTCATGGTTTAGTTTCAAGCTGTCCTCTACTCTCTCGAGGGACATCAGTGACCATCCAGACGTACCGACCCCCACCCAAAGCCGAGGGAGTCATGCTGGGTATTACAGTCCAGTGTTTGCTTCCTCCCAATTCATACATTGAAATCCCTGATGCAGTAATACTCAGAGATGTGACTTTTGGGTGGTGATCAGGGCATGAGGAAGAAGGAGTCCTCCTGAATGGAATCAGTGCCCTTATAGGAAGGTTTGAAGGTGCTTACTGCCACCTGGCAAGATACAGGAAATGCCATCTACCAGGAGGAGAGCCTTGTCAAACACCAAATGTGCCAATCCCTCGGTTTTGGACAAGGGCCAGAACCATGAAAAACGTTTCAGTGGCTTAGAAGTCACCCAGTCTGTAGTACTCTGTCACAGCAGCCAGAACGGACTAAGACATGAGGGATGGAAGTGAGAGTGTGTCAGTCTTTCTCTGGCAAAATAGGTTTTGCTGTGGTTTGTCTTCCTGAGACAAAACCACAAAATGCCATGATGAGGACCAGCTACGAGCTTCTCTGACGCAGCACTCTCAGACCTTCTAGGTCTCTGTCCAGCACCTTCTCCTTGCGCTTCACAGAGTTTTCTTTCTCTGGGAAGCTGCAAAATGTCCACGCATGCTCAGCTCCCTGGATATCTCCGACTCCTCTGCTAGCCCAGTCACCTGTCCAGCGGCCTATTTACTCCGTGGCTTTGAGCAATGGTTCTAAATTGTGGGTGTTCACCACCCGGGGTGCTCATTCCAGCACGGGCTGCTGCATCTACCCCTCAGCTTCTGATTCACTGGGTGTGGTTAGTAAAATAATTGTCTTTAGCACCTGTAATGATACACCGATCCTGGAAACCGGTGAATACGTCACCTTGCACATAGGGACTTTGCAGTCATGGTTAAATTAAGGATCTTGTGATGGAGAGACATTTTTCCTAGATGAGGGCGATCTAGGGTCCTCATAAAAGGCAGGCAGGAGAAGGCAAGTTCAGCAGAGGAGCCGTGACAATGGAAACAGCTCAGAGTGATGCCACCCCAAAAGAATGTGGCCCTTGGCAAGCTGGAAAAGGAAAGACACAGGTTCTTGCCTTGATCCTCCAGGAAGGCACGGGTGCTCTGACACCTTGAGTTTAGCCGGTGTGACCCAGTTCAGCACTCTGACCTCTGAACTGGCAAGATGATGATGGTTGTACTGCTTTAAGCTGCTAGGGGTGCGGTAAGGCGTTGCAGGAATCGAACAAGGGATCGGGGAGACTCCTCAGAACGTGTACGTCTGATCAAAGCTCAGCTGATCAGAGTCACCCACACTCTGAGTGACTCCGCAGTCCCCAGTGCTCTCCCAAACTTCCAGCTGCAAAGTTGCATGAATTGGTGGCTTTTCTACCATGTCTGAATCCTGCACACTGGAAGCTTTTACCTTCCAGAAAATGCCCATTTAAACCTTGGAGTTTTTCCCCTATTTTGCACTGAGTCAGTGGTGAAGAACATGAACAGCCATGAAATAGAAACCACATTAATATTACATAAATATTCACCTCGCTGTTTGTCATTTTCTTTGGGACAAAATTGCAGATCCATGCCACGTTACCTACTCTTACAAAATCTCTTTGGCAAATTGAAAAAGCTCCTCCGTATTCTAGGAAGGAAGTGGCAGAAAGTTCACAGTGAGGAGTCCTGTTTCTCTCTATGCATCCTCTGCTCGCAGGCACCCCAGATCTGCCCCCACCTAGCTGAATGTGGTCACGCCTCTGTTACACTTGCTACTGCCCTAAGGATCAAGCGGGCTCCTGGGGTCACCACGCTGGCTCTCAGATCCTCAGATAGTCACCACGGCACCACACCAGCCACCCTCACACCTGGGGCCTGTAAAGAGGTCTCTGGGGCCCTGACTGGACTGGAGACTCCAGGACATCTAGCAGAAGGGAGAGAAGACTCACAAAGCCTGATTCCTTGCAATACTGTTAATACCTTGGACAGAGTAGTTAGGGACATCGGTGCACTGTGAGAAGGCCTTGAGGATTCTCTCCGCCCCCAAGTCATCCTCCCCCCCCCACCCCCTCTCTCTCTTCTCTGGCCAGGCAATAGAGTTCTACCTCGATACTAATTCCAGCTCTGATTTTTGCTATCTGTGTGGCTATGGACTCCCTGACCTTTAATTAATTCCCTTACCTACTGCACAGGGTTGAGAGCCACCTCATCAGGAACATCCGTACTCCACTCTCGCTCGACAGTTCCTGTCGTTTTAGTGAGATTAATGAGACAAGAGAAAAATGGAAAGAAATCAAATAGGAAAAGAAGAAATCAGATGATCTTTCTGGGCAGACGAAGGGAGCTTATACTTAGAAAAACCTCTGGAGTCCACCAAAAGACTTTTAGAATTGATAAATGAATCAACAAAGTTGTAGCATATAAAATTAACATTTAAAAATCAATAGTTTTATTATACACCAATAATGGACCAGCCAAGAAAGAAATCAGGAAAATAAGTGTACTCACTGCAGTTTAAATAAAACACAACACTCAGGGATCAGTCTAACCAAGGAGGTGAAGGACTTTTACAATTTCAGAACACTAAAGAAAAAAATTGCAGAAGACATCAGAAGATGGAAAGATCTCCTATGTTCATGGATTGGCAGGATTAATTTTGTCCAAATGGCCATATTGTCCACACCAAAAGTGACCTACTGTTTCATTCAATCCCCATTAAATAGCAATGCCATTACTTACAGGACTAGGAGAAAATAATCACTCAAAATGTGTATGGAAATAAAAAGACCCAGGATAGCCAAAGAAATACTAAGCAAAAAGAGCAAGGCTGGGGGCCTCATAGTGCCCAATTATACCACAAAATGGGGACAAGAACAGCATGGTTCTAGCACAAGAATCGACAGGTAGATCAGAATAGAGGGCACAGAAACAAACCCAAGCAAGCAGAGTTATCTGATTCTGGGAAAGGAACCAAAAACACAGGTTAGAGAAAACACAGCTTCTTCAACAAATGGTGGCAGGAGACCTGCGTTTCCACGTGTGAGGATTGAAACTGGATCCCAGTCTTTCACTCCGCACCAAAATCAGTTCAGGATGGATCAAGACCTAGGTACGAGGTCCGGACTGTGAAACTTCTAAAAGTAAGCATGGGGAAAATACTTGAAGCCCTATGCACAGGCCAAGACTCTCCGATTAGGAGTCCAACAGTACAGAAAGAACAGCAGGGATCAGCATATAGGACTATGTCAAATTAAGGTTTCTATGCAGCAAGGGAAGTGAGTAACAGAGTGGAGAGACGGCCTGTAGACTATGAGAAAGTTCTGTCAGCTACTCTTCCAACCGAGGAGTAATATCACAGTATATAAAAAAATACAAAAATTAAACAAGCCTGGAGATGTAGCTCAGCAGCATAAGTGCCTGCCTGGCGAGTGCAAGGTTGTGAGTTCAATCCCTGTTACCAACAACAACAAAAAAATGAGCAACAAAAAAATCAAATAGCCCAATCGATAAATGGGTAGAAGAACGGAACAGACACTTCTCAAGAGAAGTACAAATGACCAGTGAATATATGGAAGCATTAACCCGGTTAACCAGTAGGGAACTGCAAATCAAAACCACACTGATGTCACCACAGTCAGCACAGCGTTCATCAAGGATACAAAGCCAAGAAAAGCTGGCAAGGTCAGGGGCAGGGGCTGCCTTTCCTTAGGGAATTAAATTACACAGCCACCGTGGAACTCAATACGGAAGTTTCTCAAAAAGCTAAAACTCAAGCTGCCACTTGATCCTCATAAACCACTCCTTAGTACATACACAAACACTTTAAGTCAGCGTACTGTAAGGATATTTGTGTACCCAGGTTGAGTACAGCGTAATTCGTAATAGCCAAGATATGGAAGTAACGCAGGTGTCCACCAACAAGGGGATGAACAAATACTATGTGGTGTTTATTTGCCCTGAGCAATAATTCAGCCACAAGGAAGAACAAAATGCTGTTATTTTTAGGACAAAGAATGGATTAAAAGCCATCATCCTGCGCAAAATAAGCCAGAAATACAAATAGCCCATATTTATTCTAACATACGATACCTAAAAGATGTGACAAGGAAGTGCACAGGAGACTTCTACCAGACAAGAGGAGAAAATGGGCGAGAGGGAGGGAGGTGTGAGGCAGACAGTGGAAACCAAACACGTTACACAGACCGACACTTCTCCCCACCCAGGAGACCCGGCGGGGAGCCTGGGCAAAGCGGGTAACGGGGGGACATAACAATGGGTGAGGTGTATTATGTACGTGTGCAGCTCTGCCAAGTGAAACCTATTGATTTGTGTAACTAATTTTTAAAAGTGAAAAAATAAAAGAAAAAACTTAAATATGCAATCTGCATGATATCAAAATGGCCAGCGAATATATGCAAAAAACAAGCAATTTCAGCATTCATTAGGAAAATCCTGCTCGGAATCACAGTGAGACATTCTTTCACACCTACGAGGGTGCCAAAAATCAAAAAATAAAAAAAAAAAAAGACAATAGAAAGCGCTGGTGAGGATGTGGAGGAATTGCGACCCCGGGTAAAGCTGTTTTGGCGAAAGGTTTAGCAGCTCCCAGGAGGTACACTCCTCTGGGTGTGGGCCAGAGAGCTGACAATGTGTCCACACAGCAACTGCCATGTAAGTTGCTCACGGCATCACTGCTCGCAAGAGCCAACAGGTGGAAACAACCACCTGCCCACTGGATGATGCTGGATACAGGACACAGGGTGCATCCACAGCATGAGTGGTAATTCTGTACCACAGAGGACTAGAGTGCTAGCACGCGGTGTCCTGTGTGTGAACGCTGAACACCCGACGCTACGTGAAAGAAGTCACTCACAAAAGGCCTCGTGACATATCGTTTTATTAATATGAAATCTGTAGGATGAGCAAATTCGTAGACAGAAAGTAGAGGAGGAAGTGCCAGGGACTGGACGTGGGAGTAGAGGTGCTAACAGGTGCAGGGTTTCTTTAAAACATAAGACGTTCTCAAGTTAGTAGCACTGGATTGCAAACTGAATCTTCAAACACCCACAGAATTACAGACTGTAGAAGGTGGGTTTTGTGGTATGTGAAGAATCCCAGCAAAGCTGTTGTTTTTGCTAAAGATGCCCTGCCTCGTTTATAAAACAAGAATGAGAGGGGCTGGGGATTTAGCTCAGCGGCATAAGCGCCTGCCTTGCAAACAGGCAGTCGTGAGTTCGATCCCCAGTACCGATAAAAAAGGAAAAAGACAAAAAAAGAAAAAAGAAGAACGAGAAGAGGCAGGGATACCTCTCTTCATCGTGGTTTGCTTTACATGACATCGACCTTTTTACAGACTGAGGTTTTGAGACAGCCAGGCACTGGTCAAGTCTGTGAGCGCGTGTGCGCTGTGCATTTCTGTCACATTTTGGTAATATCTGAGATTATTTTCAACTCTTTTCATTATTACATCTGTTCTGGTGATCAGTGATCTGGGCCAGTCATTCTGGGGCACCCACTCACTGTCAACTGCCCATCCCCGTGACGCTCCGCTCCCCAGTCCTCCCCACCTCACCCCAAGAGTCACTGCACCCTCCCAACCAAACTTGAATGGCGATGCGCTGCTTCTCTCCAATGAGGAAAGAAAATGCTTTCTTGTGATGGACTCTGTTCCTGGTGAAGGTGCTGCACGTTCTGTTGAGATGACCAGAAAGGATTTAGGCTATGAAGTCCATTTAGTGGCTGATCGCAGGGGTGAGGCTTGCCAGGATACCCCAATGTGGAAAGAAGATCTATTGTAGGTAAAATGGTTCCATTCAGCATTGTATGCTGCAGAAAAACCTTTCATAAAATGAGGAATTAATCGATAGAGCAAACTTCATTGCTGTCTTATTTTAGGAAATTGCATAGTGGGCATGATGGCGCGGGCCCGTCGTCCCAGCACACCAGAGGCTGAGCCAGAAAGATGACCCCGAGTTTGAGGCCAGCCTGAGCTACGCAGTGAGTTCAAGGCCAGCTTGAATTATATAGTAAGACCTGTCTCAGAGAGAAAAAGACAGAGACAGAGACAGAGACAGAGACAGAGACAGAGAGACAGAGAGAGACAGAGACAAAGAGAGATTGCCACAGTCAAACTTCAGCAGCCACTTCCCTGGGGAGCCAGCAGCAGCCACCACCAGGCACAGTCCTTCTGGAAAGACTGTGACACTGTGGGCTTCTAGTTAGGCACGTGTAGAGCTCTGGGCTTAAACACATCCAAGACTAATACTTTTTTAACAAGATAATCAAGTAAAGAGGTAGGGCAAATGGTGGCGAAGTGGAGCCACAGAGAAACCATTTTCCCTGGCGAGTAGAAGGGAGCGGGGTTCTGCGCAGAGATGGCGTGCTGGATGTCCTGGAGCACCGGGCTGAGGTCCGGGTTGCAAACACCACCTATGGATTTGTTAAACTTTGTCTGATGGAGAATGTAGTCCTGGCCGTAGTCCCTCAGCTGCTCTTGGAGCAGGTGGTCCAGGATATTCTTCTCTTCCCTGTCCCATATGTCACTCGTGCCTGCAATACCTGGGACATTAAAAAAATAAGAAAAGGTCAGGTTCTGGGAAGGCCTGAGTGTGTCAGGACAGAAAGCAGAACTGGCCTCTGCTTTGAAGGACGAGTGCTTGTAAACACCTTTTAAAAGATGTGCTTCATAAGGCCATTTAGTTCTGTTTTTAAACCTACAGACAGAAAAGAGCACACACACTTCGCTTGGCTTTGAATACAGAGTCAGCCCATGTAACCAGCAGCCAGGTCAAGAGCAGAACCGAGCGAGCCTTGGAGTCACCCCTACCCCTTTCCCGAGAGCCACCACCCTCGTGAACAGGGCACACACGTCTTGTCTGCTGCTAAACGCTGTGGAAACACAAGTGTGTGCGTCTTTGCTCAGGACAAAAGCCATCTGCGTACAGCATGCTTATTTTCTTTGCCGCATAGGTTTCTCCTGCACAAATATGCCATGATTTTTATCCAATACGCTGTGATGGACATTTGTATTGTCTTCAGCTTGAGGCTCTTACAAACACAGCTGCCACTGGCATTCTAATGCAGCACATGAGTTTTGGTGATTATTGAATATACATAGCATAGAATACAGCCTATAATATAACACTTATTACATACATTCTATTCATATATCTATATAACATACATAATTCATCAAGTACAGAAGTGTTGCTTATAGAGAAGTATTTATATTTGAAATTGAATATATTAACTTAAAAGATGTGTAGAATAATGTCATTTTAATTTTTAAAATATATATTAGATGTAATTTTAATATGATTTAAACAGAGTTAAATTTTTATACATAAATAAGATGATTAAATATGAATATATTTTAATGTGGTAGCAATGCTTCGTTATCTGAAGTTAAATACAATATATTTACTTTAAAACAGCAGCAGTACCCCTTCACTACATAAACTTCATTATGAAGCGAGTAACAACATGTGTACAGCCCTTGTATTAAGGTCCTCCGACTCTCTCCTTGTTCATAATGTATAAATACAGTAGGCTTTGGTTTCACTGTATTTCACCAGAAAAGAATGAAAACAAAAAGCATCAGACTGTATGTACTGTCCAGGAATTTATTTTTTCCCCCTTCGTAATAACGCAGATGCCGCACCCCGGTCAGGAGCTTGTAGACTTCCAGCAAGAAAGGATTATAGATTTAAACAGAGCAGGGGAAGCTGGTGGGAAGTCAGGTCCCAAAGGCATTTCCAGCCGTGTCTAGGTTTCTCTGACATTGCATTAGGCAGACTTGCACAATCTGTCTGTTTCTACTCTGGCTTTATTTCTGGGGACCAGAGTCCCCACGGTTCAAGACACGTACATTTTGAATTTTCATAACTCCAAGCGCAGTGCTCACTAAAAAGGTCCCAGCCACCACCTCCCTCCTGCAGAGCATGATTGGGGTGGGGGTGCTGTGGGATGACCTCTGTTTGCCAGCCCAGGTGACTCTGGGATTTTGGGACTGTAGGGGAGCCTGCTTCGGAGATGTGAGCCACTGAAATCCAGTTTCACTCAGGGAATGGAAATGCGGCTTCAGTGGCTTCTTTTCATAAAAGCACAGCACTGTACCTGAAGAAACAATTACCACGGCGGTTTCTCTGGAGTTCTGAGTCTTCCCAAGCTTGCTTGTGTGAATTACTGTCCTTCCTGTGTCTCCCCCAGTCTCTGCCTTCACGGGCTAAGGGAGTCCTTTATCTCTCCAGTTCGTGGGTTTTCTGATCATTCTTGTGAATACCCTGTCTAGAGTCCCCCAAACCTTTCACGAGTGCCAAAGCTACCATCTGTCACTTTGGGGAAACACATCATGAAGTTGCTAACGTGACCTGGATCCAATCACATCTTTGCCTCTCATCAGTTCTTTAGTTTGAGAAGAGGCTTCACTTCTTTGAACCTGTCTTCTCAGGGCCCATGGAAATACTGCTATGCCCACTTTATGGGCGAGGACACAGATTAAAGCACATAAAGTGTGTAACGTGCTAAGCATGGAAAGTGTGTTAGCTATTTTTATTGCGGAGCACTAATAAAATCTCATCTGCCTCCCTGAACGTCTTCAGAAGCTCCTCAGCTGCCTCCTGGTGGATTATTCTCCCTGCTTCCACCTCTCTTTAAATATACACATGAGGCACACACATGTGAGGTAGGCGTGGGACGCCCACCCTGGGGTGTATTACCCATCTCATTTATGTGCCCTCACTTGAGACTAATGTCACTCGAACCTTCTCCTTACTCATTTTATAAAGAGCAAGAGGAGAAGAGCTCAAATGTTCTAAGCAGAAAGAAATGATAAAGCCAGGCATGGGGTCATGCCTCTGTGTTCCTAGCTCCTCAGAAGCTGAGGCACCAAAATTCATGAATCTGAGGCAACACTGGGCGATGCAGTGAGACATGGTCTCAATAAAAGAGGAAAATCATCAATATGTAAGAAGTGGAAATGCTCATTATCCTGCTGTGTCCTTTCCTACCGTGTACACCTGCTGCATTGTTGCGCTGAACTCCGCAAGTATACAGAATCGTTATGTGCCTAGGAAGATTTTAAATGTAGACAAGGTAGAAGTGCAAATTGCAACAATATTTTGGTATTGCCAAGATGAAATGAAGACAGGTAAAATGTGTCACTCAGTCACTTTCGGGACGCTCTCGTAGGAGAATTCCTAGGCACAAAACCCACAGTGTGTGTACTAGGATGTCCATAACTGTACTGTCCGTAATTGTCCCAAGTGAGAAGTGACCCAACTATCTCATCAATGGTAGGGAAATGACATCGTATTCACAGAGAAGCGTACAACAGTGAACACGAATACACCACAGCTACACACGACATAGATGAATCACACCATCACAGCGTGTAACAAACAAACGAGACACTAGAGGATACACATACACTGATGCCATTTAAAGTTAGAAAACCAGTGAAGCCAAGCCCTGTCGTGCAAGATGGTGGGAGCAGCTACTGTGGGGGAGCGGGAGAGGGTTGTGATGGGGAACGTCACGTGGGGAGCTTCTGAAGACGTTCAAGGAGGCAGATGAGATGTTATTAGTGCTCCGCAATAAAAATAGCTAACACACTTTCTATGCTTAGCACGTTACACACTTTATGTGCTTTAATCTGAATCCTCGCCCATAAAGTGGGCATAGCAGTATTTCCATGGGCCCTGAGAAAGCAGGTTCAAAGAACGGCATCTGGGTGCTAGTCTTGTTTTATTTTTGATCTGGGTATGAAGTACATGAATGTTTATAATAAGCAGTTAACCTATGTTTGTGTGTCAACATTATATATACCATCTAAGTAAGTCAACTACACCAGCGCCGTGTGACAAGGGAGTAGCCCAGCGCCTATAAGAGCAGCTCCAGAGAAAGGTTACCTGTCGTGACCACATTGAGTCCAGGAAGCAGACCTTGACAGCCGGACTGTGGTCTTGTTAAATGGAGTCTTGTGGTTGTGCCCTGAAATTTGTCTTTGGGCTGTGCACCAAACTCTCGGTCTTCCGGCCAGCTTCTGAAATCCAGTTTGTGATTTTCCTCCTCCACCGGGTCTTAGCTATTTTTCCTCCCTTTAAAGCCACTCTTGACTTCCTCTGACCCACTCCTCTGGTCCATGAAGTCCCCTCAATTCTTCTCCATCCATGAGAGCAACCAGGTAGGAAACACCTGCATCTTATGTCCACTTCTACTGCTGGTCCTGGCCCACACTCTGAGTGATCAATGCCTCTTTCTTTAATCTCCCTCTCATGGTAATCTCACGGCACCTTTAGCCTCCTCCACTACCCTGTGAGGTTCCCAGCTGCCAAGCGCTTCCAGCCAAAAGCTCAGTAATTCCTTTAGATTTTATCTTGCGCATACAAACCCTTATTCTTTAGTGTGTGTGCAATACTTCCCAGTTTGTGGCCTTTCATTAGACATGCTTTGTCACTGAAATTGCCAATGAAATGTGCAATGTCCCAGGAGAACTTAGCCTTGGGGTGCTCTGCCCCAAGATTTCAGGAGAGACCCAAGAGTGGCTATCTCCCAGGATGAGAGGATGTGAGCTGTTGTTCTTCAGAAGAAAAGAGAAAAACAGTCTTCAAAATACAAACAGCCTTAGAGAACAAAATCCTTGGTCAAAGGGAGCAAGAGGCTAGTAAATGTGACCTAGCATTTTCAGCCTAGGCTTTCACATGAACATAAACTCTAGCTCTAAATCAGCACAATGACACGGGGCTTGTAGATTATACATTGGGAGAAAGGTTTGGAGGACGCAGCAGAAGTGATCAGAATCCTGGAAAGCTGGGTGTGATGGCACACATCTGTCATCCCAGTTGAGCCAAGGAAAACCACAGCTCAAGAACAGCCTGGTCAACTTAGGGAGACCCTGCCTCAAAATAAAGCGAGAAGGGCAGAGGACATAGTCCAGTGGTAGAGTGCTCTTGGGGTAGACACTTCCCCAAAGTCTTTTCTTTCCAGTGGTGAGAATTGGGACCATTTCTGAGCTGTGTGTGACCTGCCTGTGTTGTCTTCCCCAAATTTCCTTCTCTTGTCTATAGGTCAAACAAAACTCAGTCACCAAGGAAGAGAGTGTGAGTCCTGAACACTAAAGGCTGAGTCACCGTCAGGAGCCCTGGGTTCAGACCCATCATGGCCTCTGCTCGCTATAAGTTTTGAGCCAACTCAACCCCTCCATGGAAGGAGCAGAGGAGCAACCGCTCTTGCCCCTCAATTCTTCTATGATGCCCACCCATCCCAACCTCTCTTTGATAGACACCAAGGACTACAGATCATAAGGGGATGTGACGACCCCAGCCTACCCCTGCACTAAGGCCTGATCGTATTTCCAGGATAGCTTCTGGCAGCATCAAGCTGGTCCCTAGGAGACACAGCACCTCATTAAATGCCTGTTGAGAAGGCTCACTGGAGCATGAGAACCTGCTCTCTGTTCTGCCCCCATGCACCCTGGTGACAGACGCCTGACCTCCCTTTCTGGGAGCATCTACTCAAAAGTTCTTTCAGTTGTGATCATATACATCTTACAGCTCAGAAGCATCTGCCCCAAGCACTGAGTGCCACTCCTGTGGGATGGGATCACCCAGAAGGATAAGGCCTCCGTTCCCAGCTGCTGGACTGGGATGGAGCCCTCATTTCTCATCGGCTGGCTCTGTTGAGCCCTGCGCCTCCCGCCCAGCCCTCTTCCCTTAAAAAGCCTAACGTCTGCACGCATTGGACTGGAGCGCGGCTCTCACTACACAGAGTCAAATCTGCTTTCACTGCTTTAACGGATCACTGGCTGTCCGTAGAGTTCTGTGCTCTCTCAGACCAAGGAGACCTCCGAGATTTTTCTGGAATGGTACAATGGATATCAGGTTCAACCTACCAGTTCTGAAGCCTCCAGGTTGGATCACAGAGACTTTTACTCCCCATTTGGAAAGCTCTTGTCTTACAATTGATGAAAACATAGTCAGGGCTGCCTTCGCAGAGCTGTAAGCTGCCATCTTTGGCATTGGGATCCCTCCTGCAGGGGGAAAAAATGGGTGGGGGGGAATCAAGTCCAGTGTTTTCATTTACTCACCCAATAAATGTTTACCCTCCACCAAACTCATCCCAGTAAGTGATATAAGTGGTGACCAAAGCAGACAGACACACCATGGTCCCCGTGTACCCGTCGCCACTCCCATCTGGTGGCTCCATTTGCACTCAGCTCCTCCATCTCAGTTGTTACAATGACTGACCAAGCTGAAGGCTCACCCTCGCCCAACTTTTAAGCAAAAGATCATCGTTGTGCAATAAACAACCCCTGTTCACCACCCCTCAGCCGTGCTTCTTTCCAAAGTTCCAGGTGACATATTTTTGGCAGGATTCACTACTGAGTCCCCTGTGGCAGGTATTTGAAAACAGACCTTAGTACCTGTTGCACTGAGGAATACCATGGAAAATCAGGGGACATTTGTATGGAAAGGGACTTGGCCTGGGCTGGGACAGATATTCTTTAACCTCCTAAGTCACATTTGGTTTAGGAGCTACCGATATTGAGACCCAACCTGGGTTTGTCAGTGGACCAGCTAGAAGGAAAGAGCCACGCAAGTTGGAATCAAAGGAACTCAGAAAACAGGACTGGTCTGTTTGTAATAAAATCCAGGAACACACAATTGGCATGGAATGAGTGCTGGGTAAGCCTATACTGGGTTAGGATGTGCCCTAACCCTAATGATAACTGTCCTTATAAGTACGTCAAAAGAGAAGATGCACAGAGATACGGGGAAGCAGCTATGTGCACAAGAGCAGAAATTGGAGCTTTGGTGTCACAACTGAAGAAACATCCAAGCAAGGACAGATCTTCTCCCAGAGACTTCGAAAGGGCACAGTCCTGTTAGCGTCTTGACTTAGATCTCCAGACCCCGGAACTATGAAAGAATGACTTTCTAGTGTTCTAAACTGTTCAGTTTATGACAGCAGCACCAGAAAATGAATCCGTGTGCATTCCAGGGAGAAAGGCAAAGAGCGCTGAAGACCTCGTAGGCAGCCAGGACCTGGGCCTGGATCTCAGGGATCCCTGTCTCGCCAAAGGTTTCCCTGGTCAAAGAAGGATCCCCTGGATGAGTGGATGAGGAGCTGTGGGACAACTGTGGATGGTACCACCTCTCAGTCATGAAAAGGAACAGACGTGATGTGCCTAACAAGGTGGAGGCCTCAAGATTGCATTGGTGAATGAAAGAGCTAAATAAAAATGAATGCACACTCTTTGTTATGATTATTTGTGAAGGCTTCTAGAAAATGCAATCAGTGTTCAATGAGAAAGGCAGATCGATGATGACCTGCCAAGTTGGAGAGGTATGCATTGAACTGTGTCTCCCAAATTTACACGTTGAAGACATAACTCCTGGTGGATGACACTTGCAAGTGATGCCTTTGGGAGGAGGTTAAACCGTGAGTGTGGAGCCTTAGTGCCAGGAGAGATTTCTCACTGTCTGTCTGCACTGTGTGACAAGGTAAGAAGACAGTCACCCTCAAGCAACGACTAGGACCCTCACAACAACCTGACATGCTGGCATTCTGAGCTCAGGCTTCCAACTTCCAAAACTCTGAGACATAAATTTCTGCTTTGGCTGTGGTGATGGTGTTGAGTATGAACTTCTGTCTAAACTTACCGAGCTTCACACTTTAGGGGTACATTCATGTGTGTTCACCGGATCGCCATGTTTTTTAAAACTAAAAGGAAGCAGCACTGACCCTCAAGAAACCACAGACATCTCCACATAGAGGGAGGACTTCATGGGAATGTATTCTTCCAAAACCCTCCAGACATTCAGGTAACTGTTCAGGCGTCAAAGAGCCCCCAAGCTTTCCTGGTCTTATCTTTCCATGTATCCTGGTGCTACCTGCCTTCTGGACTTGATGCACATGTGAGCCCTTAGTCTCCTACTGTAGCATTCTGTAGCTGATTCTTTTTCCCTGCCTACATCTCTCTTTTTTATTAAGTTTATTGGTACATTTTAGGTACACGTATGACCACACTCGTCATAGGGAATGTGTACCTATACTTGATATTTCTTGATTCTTTTTTCTCCATTTTCCTCCCCTTCCTTCAACATGTCTTCCCCTCCTTATTTACAAAAACTCTCTATTTTTTCCCTTTTCTCATTTTTTTCCAAGTCTTTTTTATCCTCTGAGTCAAGCATGCTACGTCCACCCAGCTTCTTAGCCCTGAGCTCCCTTGACAGACCTCCACTCCATTCAAAACACTCAGCTTGGGTATCTGAGACCACAAACTATGGCTCACATCCACGTCTAACGTTAAGACTCAGTCTTTTAAAGATTAAATCATGACCTCGCAGTCTGTCCTGGGTAGGATAAACCCTCGTTTCTACAGAGTCTTTCAGCTGCCTCTTCCTGGACCCCCTGTAAAATTGAGTGCATTTCTGCAAACAGAGAAAATATAGATTTCACAGAACATAGTGTACTGGCTACGTGTGGTTTTCTAAAAGGCAGTGCTCAAGGAAACATTAGCCATTTGAGGGGCACTTAATGCATCTGTGCCTTGAATTTGGCACAACTTAATAATTATTTGAAGGCCACACAATATCATTTAAAATAATATAAGATGATAAAATTATGAGTGTACACAAACACACTTGCACACAGACATATATGCACAAACAAGTAAAAAATTGGGAAATATGGTAAGATCAGTAAGCTATCATTGTCAGTGTGCTGTGTACTACAGTTTTGTACAATCTGAACTATTGAGATACACTGGGTAAAAGATACACAAGATCTCTCTATTCCTTACAACTTTAGATAAATCCACAATTAGCTCAATAATATATTCAAATGAAATACAAAGGTGGCCATTGAAGTGCATACACCTAGAATAGTTCACATCAACTGCAATCACTGTTCTTGTAGAACTGTTAAAGGTCTTAAAACACACCCATCTGAATCCCTGTGTGTTACAGCGAGTACTGTCTATCACCAGTCCCAACCTTCTTGCTAATGAGGCCACCGGCCAGCCGTAACATCTCAGCTGCACGTCAAGGCAGGGTGGAGAGGGCATGCGACCCAACCTGAGCCACTGTCTTTGTTGGGAAATGATACAAATGGTGGAGAAGAGATGGCTTTATTATTTATTTCTGGGTACTTAAGTGTATTGTCACACCGTGATTGGGGGAGGACTAGAGCTCCTAGGGGGTCACTTTTGCTGTAGCACAAATATGGAGCAGAGAAAGTCCCAAGGGTGTCAGGAGTACGGGGAGAATTAAGACTTACTATCAAGCCTGGTCTCACCCCAGTGCAAACTAGTAAGCTCTTCTATTTTAAAGGTTTCTTTTTTGTTTTGTTTTGTTTTGTTTTGTTTGGTACCAGGAATCTAACTCATGACTGCACACTCGCAAGGCAGGCACTTATGCCGATGAGCTAAATCCCCAGCCCTAGTGTTTGTGAAAGGATTTTGCCCCAGACAGGACACTATAGCTGGTGGGAAGCTGGGGGCTCTATCTTGAGGTCACATTTCCCACTCCTAGGCAATTTACCTGTGGCGCAAAATGAACACCAATGGACTACCTGTGCATCACTAATGTCCCTTAGGCACCACCCCAAACCTAAACTACATGTGTGCCCCCACACCAGAGAGAATGCCAGACCCCGGAGGGTCATGGAGTCTCTTTCCACATTCTTAAAATAAAGGCTGCTTTATTTCATACTTCTTATCTTTTTAGCCAAAAATTTTATCAGTTTGTTTCAATTTAGTTTGGGATTTGACCTAGTCACTTTGAAACGAAGAGCCCAGAGGCTCAACTGAGGCAGTTTCAACACCACATGAGGCTGCCGTGAAACTGGTTCCCTTCTTGCCAGAGATGACCAGCTGGTTTTCCTTTAAGTGGTTCTTAAGTTTCACAAAATCTTCGCCTGTGAAATCTAACTGCTTCCTTGTACGGTGAGAAAGGCCAAAGAAGTTAAACCCATTTGTTGAAAGTCAAACAGTTGGTTGTGTGGCAACCACGGCTTATGGGATTAAACTGAGTTTCCACTTCAGCATGATTTTTATAGACAGAGGTCACTGGGCAAAAGGCAGGGTGGCAGACAGCAGCCATGAGACCTGGATTCAGGAGCCAAGGCCATGTGTGCGAGTCCCGGCTCTGCCTCTGCTCAGCCACCTGTTCTCAGGAAAGTCACCTCGTGTTGATGGGCACTGCCTTTTAAAATGTAAATTAAGAATAATGATAGCACATGCAACTTTGGGGTGCTGCGGAATTTAAATGAATGAATATATTAACATGTTTTAATATGGCCTGAAGTGAGCTCTGTGCAAGGCTTCCTGTTATGGGGGCCACTCGAGGGATTCACAATGCCGTCATAACAGCCCACAGGGCTCCACACGCTCAGCATTTCCTAGAATTGTGTTACAATCTCCGGCAGCTCGTGTCTGCTATGTGGGGTATTCAGATCCACCCTGGACCTACTGACCAGAATCTGCATTTCAAACCATTGAGACTAATGCAAACAAATATTAAATACTGAAGTATGACTTTGTAGGGGTTACCCATATTTCTGAACAGGTGTTTTCATGTTGATGCCCTGTCTTACAGATAATAGAAGCTTTTGCCTTGAATCTGTCTGCACAAAAGCCTGTGTTGGAAGTTTATTTTCTAACTTTACAGTGTTGGGAGGTGGGGCCTCATGAGAGGTGACCTGGAGGAAAGAAAATGGGTTAATGCTTTTATCTTGGGATTGGGTTCTTAAAGAGTTGTTCAGCCTCCTTTTGTTCTCTCTCTCTCTGTCTCTCTCTCTCTTTCTGTCTCTCTCTCTCTCTCTTTTTCTCTCCTCTCTCTCTCTTTCCTCCCTTCCTCCCATTCTTTCACCATGCCCAAGAAAAGATCATGTGAGATCATAGAAAGTGGCCATCTACAAACTGGGAAGAGAACCTTCACCAGAAACAAACTGCGCTGACACCTTGATCTGGGACTTTCGGTCTCCAGAACCGTGAGAAAATAGCTTTCTGTTGTTTAAGTTGTTCCG